GAACACGGTGTTGGAGTTATGCTTGACGTAGGTTGTTTTAGGATCACTTCTTGATCATAGATTTCTCGAACGTGCTTTGCCTTCTCTTCTCGCTCTCTTTTCCGTATGTTAGCCACCATATATGCTAGTCACTTGTTGCAGCTCCACTTCACACCTTTTACCTTACCCATAAGCTTAAATAGTCTTGATCGCGAGGATGTGAGATTGCTGAGTCCCCGTGACTCACAGATACTTCCAAAACCAGTTTGCAGGTGTCGTTGAACCGTGCAGATGACGCAACCGAGCTCAAGGAGGAGCTCAATGAAGGTCGTGCTCGTTATGTCATTTCCGTTTCCAGTTGATCAGTAGTGGAGCCCAGTTGGGGTCGATCGGGGATCTGTGTAGCTTTTGGGGTAGTCTTCTTTTATTTTGGGTTCCGTAGTCGGACCTTGATTGTATCTGGTTGATGTAATGCTTTATTCATGTATTTGTGTGAAGTGGCGATTGTAAGCCAACTATGTATCTCTTCCCCTTATGTATTACATGGGTTGTGTGAAGATTACCTCACTTGCGACATTGCTTTCAATGTGGTTATGCCTCTAAGTCGTGCTCCGACACGTGGGAGATATAGCCGCATCGAGGGCGTTACAGGTTTAACCCTAGCATATAGAGCGCCTCCCTCGTTGCCGCGGCGACGCGGGCGTTGGTGACCTCCTGTTGCGTGGCGGCGGCGGCCGCCGCCGCCGCCGCGATGGCTTCATCCCTCGTGTCCGCCGCGTGCCTCCGACCCTTCCTCTTGGCCGACTCCCTTACCCGTTGTTCGGGCGTCAGCGTCTTCTTCGGCTTGGGCGCGCCAGCGGTCTTGCAGGGGGCGCGAGGCTTGCCTTTGCCGGAGAGGGCGGTCATCATGCTGGACGAGGCGAGGCCGGCGGCGGCGTCGAGGTCGTCGTCCATGGCGGGGGGCAGGAGCGCGCGCGGGCGGGAGGGTTTTGGGGGGAAATGGTGGAGGCTGCCACCAACCAGCGGGCCCGGGGGGGGAGGAGAAAACGAGCGCGCGCGTCCGTCTCATGTCCGCGCCGACGCAAATCCGGCTAAAAATAGGTCGGAAATGGGTCGGCAGGCGGACGAAAAGCGGACGCGCGTCCGTTTGGGTCGGCGCGTCGGGCCGACTTTTGTGTCTGCGCCGACTCAAACGGACGCCCGCGGACGAAATGGGTCGCCCCGTTGGAGTTGCTCTTAGAGCATCTCCAACAGCCGCGCTAAACTAGCATCGCGCCGCAAATTAGGCCGTTTTAGCTCGCACGCAACGCGTCGGGTCGCTCCAGCGGGCGTGCAAAAACGGCGTGCGCGCTATAACGGGTTGGGCGCGCGGTTGAAAACACTTACCCGCGCGGCGTATTTCGGGCGCCAGCTACAGCGCGCGGCACACTCGAGTGCTCGCGCCGCACTCTCTCCTCTCCTCGTCCTACGCCCCGCGCGCGCCGGCGCCCTGCCACCCACCCATGGACGCGCACACC